CTCAAAAGCTCCATCAAGAGCTCTGTCAAAAGCTCTCTCAAAAGCTCCATCTCAAAAGCTCCAGCCCGTGATCCTTCTCAAGAGCTTCTTCGGGCCCCTGAAGGCCAAAGATGTGAAGGAGACCGAGACACCAAAGGCCAGCCGTCGGAAACCTGGGAGCCGTCGGAACCTGGGAGCCCTGGGAAGGGAGGTTTGCCAGGGAGACTTCGACCTTAGGGTTTTTGGGGTTTTGGGGTAGATTCTCCAACTCCGAAACCCCGAAGTCTTAAACCCTAAATCCTAAACCCTAAGCCCTAACCCCTGAACCCTAACCCCTAAACCCGAAACCCCAAACCCTAAACCCTAAAAAGCCTCAACAAGTGACTTGAAGGCTTCGAGTCGTTCTTGGTCATGTTTTCCCCGCCAGGCTGCTCCAGAGACTGACCAGCGAGAACCTGGCAGTCAGACGTCGCAGGTCCTGAAACCGCAGCCGGGGTAGCCCTATAGGCATCCTTAGGTACATAGAATATCTGAAGATCCGAAAAACAAAACCACCCTTTTCAAAACGATAGGCAGAATATCAGAAACCCCAAAACGATAGGCATAATATTGGCCTAACGTTTAGGGCCAAGAGGTGCCCTGGGGGTCGGGGTCACCTATACTCGATCTATGGGTTCCCGCAGGAGTTGGAGGTGCTCTCTTCGGGGGAGGGCGCAAAGAGGTGTGGTTGGAGGCCGCCAAACGGCTGTCTTAAACATGACCCCGCAAATATTCAGTGTATGGGTTGATATATTCTATGTATGGCTTCCTCAAAACATTCTATGTAGGGGTTCCTCGACGCCAAAACCCCCGAAAAACACAACCCTCCCCGAAGCCCAAATTCTATCTATTCAAGGATGACTGTAAACCCTAAACCCTAAGCCCTAAACCCTAAAGCCTAAACCCTGAACCCTGAACCCTAAACCCTAAACACTAAACCCTAAACCCTAAACCTCCTATGCCTCTAAGCCCACACGATTTTGGCCGGATTGCGCAGTCCCCTGTGCAGCGCAGACGTTCCTTTGCAGGCGCCGTCTTCTTCAGGCGCCTCTATGGGGCAAGGACGCCCATGACCCCCCCCCCCCACCCCGGGTTTTAGCGTTTAGGGTTTCGCCGCCCCCTCACCCCCCAAATGCTCGGCAGAGAGGCTTCGTCTGGGTGCCGTCTGTGATGGCTCACCCTCGGGCCGCTGGGGTCCTAAGCCCCAAAATTTTCTGATCCTAAACCCTAAACCTAAACCCTAAACCCTAAACCCTAAACCCTAAACCCTAAGCCCTAAACCCTAAACCCTAAACCCTAAACCCTAAATCCTGAACCCCAAGCCCTAAGCTTTGAACCCTGATCTTCTAGGATGCCCAGTAGTGCCCTTATTCCCTTTTTTTAGGGGGGGGTTAGGTTCCCTTATAAACCCCTTTAAGCAAAAAAGGGGTACCCTTTTTTGGGGGGTTAGGTTCCCTCATAAACCCCTTTAAGCAAAAAGGGGTACCCTTTTTGGGTTACTCAGCATCCTAGTCTTGCAGGACTCCCGCCCAGATGCCTGAAAAGGCTCTCGCGCGAGTTGGCGCAAACGGAAGCTCGCCGGGAAGAGCTGCTGAGGGAACACGGGCACCCTGGCTTGGTTTGGGGTTTAGGAGGGTCTAGGGTTTAGGGTTTAGGGTTTAGGGTTAGGGTTTAGGGTTTAGGGTTTAGGGTTTAGGGATGGGATATAGGGGTTCGGTCCCAAAACCGCAAAACCTAAACCCTACTTGTACTCCGTCTGTGCCTTCACCACAAAGTGTGAGCAGCTTAGGGTTTGGTGTCCCTAAACCCTAAACCCTAAACCCTAAACCCTAAACCCTAAGCCCTAAGCCCTAAGCCCTAAGCCCTCAGCCTTAAACCCAAAACCCAAAACCCTAAACCCTATCATTCAGGGTTCGAACCTGGAAGCTGATGAGGATGGAGCTGTCTCTGTGTGATCCCGACGGCGGCGATCTTCGAATTTGGTCCCTGCGGCTGCGCACGCAAGGCCCTGCTTGGTAGGGTTCGTGTTTAGGGTTCAGGGTTCAGGATTTAGGGTTTAGGGTTTAGGGTTGAGGGTTTAGGGTTGAGGGTTGAGGGTTTAGGGTTTAGGGTTCAGGGTTCAGGATTTAGGGTTTAGGGTTGAGGGTTTCGGGTTTAGGGTTGAGGGCTGTATATACCCTTGAAGGGACTCTTTAGGGTCATTCCCTCATTCCCTACTCGGAACCAGCCAGTGGGTTCGCGGGCGGCGTCCATGCAGTGATGGTAGGGACGGTAGGGAGGTCGATGTTTAGGGGTTTTTTGGGGGGTTCAGATGGTTACCGGTAGCTTCTTTGCAACCTTTGCGCCGGCGGGTTAGAAGGCGGAGGCATGATATTGCGGCACAGCTCGAAGCAGCAAAGCCCGCAGGATTTGATGGTGGAACCGAGCTCGGCCGTCAGCTGCGGCAGTGGAATGTCGATGCAGTGGCCTGGTAACGGATCAGACCGCAGCAATGCCGGAGGATCAGGAGGTAAGAAAACCCTATATCTAAAGCCTAACCATAAACCCGAAACCCGAAACACACTTAAGCCCTGCACTCCCAAAGCACTCAGCCTGGCAGACCCTGAACCAAGGTAGAGCTGGAGGTCTGGATTCCAGATGCTTTCCCAACCTCGCCGCCGAGAGTCCGTGTCCTGAAGCCCTACTTTCAGTCAGGCGAATCTGCAGGGAATTCGGGTTTAGGCAGGGCGTGTGGTGTGGCCAGGAAGCCTAGCTCAGCGTAAATCTCCCAGACCCTAAACCCAAAACCCTTTCAAACACGCCCAGGCCCAAAACCCCCCAGTTCCGAAGTCCCTGTAGCCCTAAACCCTAAACCCTAAACTCTAAACCCTAAGCCCTAAACGCTAAACCCTATTTCCTAAACCCTAAACCCTAAACCCAAGACCCCTCCAAAAGTTGGAGCAACTTCTTCGATGGCTTCGTTCAAGAACGCTGGTGTTAAGTGGCCTTGGGGATGGCGGAAAGGCTGAACCCTAAACCCTAAACCCTAAACCCTAAACCCTAAACCCTAAACCCTAAACCCTAAACCCTAAACCCTAAACCCCAAACCATCAATCCGTAGTGCGCTACTTCTTGACCGCAGGCAGCTTTCGCGTTCACTCCTATGGCGCCCTCTGCATGGAGGTGCTCACGAGCCAGGTGCGAGAGCTCAGCAGAGCACCGTAGACCTTTCCCAAGCGTTCAGAGTCCCAAACCCGAAGTCCTAACCCTACACCCTAGAGTTTAGGGGTCACAGTTTCGGGGGGCAGAGGCAGCGAGGCAGGTGTTCAGCCCGCAGTGCGCTGAGGGCTGGTCGCCTGGGCTGACGCTGGCCCAGCTGGGTGTTCAGATCAAGGACATACTTGTGCAAGGCACGATTCTCAGACCCCAAACCCCAAACCCCAAACCCAAAACCCGAGACCCCAGACCCCAGAGCCCACACCCCAAACCCTAATCCCTTTAAAAATCAGTCAGCTGGACATGATTCCCGAATGCAACCCCAAGCCCCCCTAAGCCCCAAAACCAAAGCCCGCGTTTTGAAGCCCAAGCCCAAGCCCCGCCGCGCCCCAACCCCCCAATGCCCTAAACCCTACACCCAAAACCCTGAACCCTAAACCCTGAACCCTAAGCCCATGAACCCTAAGCCCAAAACCAAAACCCCAAACCCTAACCCTAAACCTTAACCCTAAATTTTCGAAACCCTAAGCCCTAACCCCCCCCCCCCTCCCTCCCCCCGTGCAGGCTCGGGCCGCATCAGCGGTACCGGGGTCATGGCAGACCCGGGCGCCGCAGGTGAGGTTTAGGGGGTTTAGGGTTTAGGGTTTAGGGTTTGCCCTAAACCCTAAACCCGAAACCCTGAACCCTAAACCCTAAACTCTAAACCCTAAACCAACCCTAAACCCTAAACTCAGAGCATCCCGAAGCACCAGAGCCTTCTTGGGGGCTTCAGGCCGGCAGCGTGCCATGGACACAGCCGATCGCATCGAGGTGCGGTTCGACAAACAGGGCTTGGGGTTTGGGGTTTGGAACCCTAAGCCCTAAACCCTAAACCCCAAACCCTAAACCCTAAACCCTAAACCCTAAACCCTAAACCCTAAACCCTAAACCCGAAACCCCAAACCCTAAATAGGGTGGAGGGTTGTTTGGGGTTGAACCCGTCAAGCGGTGGCAAAACCTGCAAGGCCCACCACCGCGACTGGGAACTCCCGGAGAGGCCTGCAGCTTGAGCCATGGCCGGGACTAAACCCTAAACCCTAAACCCTAAACCCTAAACCCTAAACCCTAAACCCTAAACCCTAAACCCCAAACCTTCTCCCGGCCTCGCATTTTCGCAGCAGTGTACAGCAGCTGCCACGAGTGATGCCACGGAGACCACGTACTCAAAATCAGGATCCTCTCTCTTCACCTGAGAAGTTCCGATGCGCGCAATCCTCAACCCTCAACCCTAAACCCTAAACCCCAAACCCTAAGCCTCAATTCTCAACCCTAAAGTGCGAACGCCCCAAGAAAAGAGGGGAGCCTGACTTTGACAGACCGATTTCCGATTGCGGAGAAAAGCGACTGCCTCATCGGCTTCGGGTTCAGGGCCGCGTCTTGCCTTGGTCGCAGCTTTCGCAGGAGGCAGGGAAGTGAAGGTTGAGGGTTGATGCCCTAAACCCTAAAGCCCAAACTCTAAAGCGCACCCAAGAATTTATGCAGGACGGCCTATCCTGAACCCAGAGCCCAGAGCCCAAAGAGCCCTAAACCTTAACGTGCGAAGCACAAGATGACGTCGATGCCCGTGCGGATGCTATACTACTATACTACTATACTACTATAGAAGTATATTTCCATATTACCATATTGCCATATACTCTACTGCTTTATTGCTATGTATATGTTATATGACGATATTGTTGTATGACTTTATTACTCTATCACCGTAGTACCAGATTACGACGTTGCGCTGTGTCTGCGAAGATCAGGTGGAGCTCTTCTCCTTCCTTAGCGACAAGGACCTCTTCGCCGAGATCTACAGGTGCGCCCGTTCTCGTGGCTGTTTTCGTGGGCTTGGGGGCTTGGCGGCTTTGGCTTGCCCTTAACCCTTCACCCTAAACCCTAAACCCTAAACCCTAAACCCTAGACCCTAAACCCTAAACCCTAAACCCTAAACCCTAAACCCTGAACCCTAAACCCTAAACCCTAAACCCTGAACCCCCAAGCACGAAACCCTTGAGGGCCAAGTTGAGGGTTTGGTAGGATAGAAATAGCAGGAGCAATCAGCTAGAAACCGACAAGGACAGCCACCATCCAAACCCTAAACCCCTGCAACCCCTGTAACCCCTGTAACCCTGTAACCCCCTGTAACCCCTGTAACCCCTGTAACTCTTGTAACCCCTGCAACCCCTGTAACCCCTGCAACCCCTGTAACCCCTGTGACCCCTGTAACCCCTGTAACCCCTGTAACCCCTGTATCCCCTACACCGACTACAACCCCTATGACCCCCATAACCCGTTTAACCCCCACCTATAACCGCCACACCCCCTAAACCTTCTGACTGCGGTAAACCCTAAAACCCTAAAACCCTAAACCCTAAAACCCTAAGACCCTAAAACCCTAAAACCCTAAAGCCGAAACCATAGAACCCCAAACCCTAAGCCCTAAAAGCCTAAACCCTAAACCCCAAAACCCTCAAAAACTCGAACACCCCCCAAAAAAGGAATCAGCTGTCCAAGCGGCTGCTCTACGAGACCTCCGCCTCCGAGGACGCAGAGAAGAGCCCCTCGGACCAGCTCTGGGTTTTTGGGGGGTTTAGGGTTTAGGGTTTAGGGTTTAGGGTTTAGGGTTTAGGGTTTAGGGTTTAGGGTCTTTGGGGTTTTAAGGGCTCTTTAGGTTTAAAGGGTTCAGGGTTTCTGTGTTCACAGGGCTTAGGTGTTTTTTGTTTTTTGCTTTCTTGGGGGTTTGGGGTTTGAATCGGTCATCTGAGGCTCCGGAGTTTGGTTTTTGGGGTACCAGGCTCTAGGGTTATGGGGTCCTTGCTTCATTGTTTTAGGGTTTCAGGGCTTCAAGGCTTCAGGGGTGGTCTAGGGTTGGTCTTTGAAACCCTAAACCTTCAACCCTAAACCCTCAACCCTCAACCCTCAACCCTAAACCCTAAACCTTAAACACCCTAAACCCTATACGTAGTGGAAATAGCTCTTGAGCCTTAAGGCCCCAAACTCCAGACGCCTCTGCTGCCGAGGCATGATTGCCAAACTCAAGATGAAGCCCTGCCCTCAGGTTTAGGGTTTGGGGTTTAGGGTTTAGGGTTTAGGGTTTAGGGTTTAGGGTTTAGGGTTGTTTTGCTCAGCGTTTTAGGGCTCCAGGATCCGGGGCACTCTTCTAGCGGGATGGTCTTGGGGTTGTAGGGTACCCTAAGCACCCTAAACCCTAAAGCCTAAACCCTAAACCCTGAACCCTAAAACCCTAAAACCCTAAACCCTAAACCCTAAACCCTAAACCCTAAACCCTAAACCCTAAACCCTAAGCCCTAAGCCCTAAGCCTTAAGCCCTAAGCCCTCAGCCCGCAGCCCCAAGCAGTGCAAGCCTCGTAGGTGCGGGGCGCAGTTCACCTCCAAGCTTGAAGGCCAGGAGCCCGGATGGAGCGTAAGGAGGGTGGGTTTCATGTACCCCTGTTAGGGTTGGAGGTTTAGGGTTTAGGGTTTAGGGTTTAGGGTTTAGGGTTTAGGGTTTAGGGTTTAGGGTTTAGGGTTTAGGCTTTAGGCTTTAGGCTTTAGGCTTTAGGCTTTAGGCTTTAGGCTTTAGTGTTTAGGGTTTAGGAGCCCTAAACCCGAAACCCGAAAAAACCCCGCATCCGGAACTTGTGCGTGTCCAAAGCTTGCGGCAGTTCCGCATCTCGCATCTAAACAAGGACAACAAAAACGAACCTAAAGCCTGATGCCCACGAGGCATGCTCACGGACCTGTCCCTGGCCCTGGACACCCAGAAGGACTTCAAGCCCCGAGCCCATATTGTTGCCGTGCCACACAGGGCTGAATGTTTGGGCTTTAGGGTCTAGTGTTTAGGGTGTACAGCTTTATGAATTCACAGGATTTTTGGGGTCATAGTGGAGGGTTCGAAGCCCCTAGACTCACCATTCTTGGAACGGAATGCGCGATTTCAGAGAATGGAACGCGCAACTCAGACACTGGACATGATTGGAGAGCCAGGGTGCAGGAAACGAGGAAGCTCCGGGGATTCAAGAATCTGCAGTTCAAGAAACTACCCTAAACCCTAAACCCTAAACCCTAAACCCTAAACCCGAAACCCTAAACCCGAAACCCTAAACCCTAAACCCTAAACCCGAAACCCTAAACTGCCTGATCAAGGAACCACGTGTGGGGTAGGGAGGTGGGTGGGATGATGACGTTCATGTCGGGGTTTCCGAAAATAGGGAAATGGGGGGTTAATGATATTCGCGGTACCTTATTGGGGTCCTCATTATACGGAAATCCGACTATTTGGGGACTGCATTTTGGGTACCTTGTTTTCGTAAACCCCCCATGTCAGGGTGTGCCTACAGGGAACGAACTTTGCCGCGCTTGCCAGTTTCCCGACTCCGCCCCTTCCCGAACCCGCGCTTGCGAGTTTTTCCGAATTCCGCGGTGTCCGCTTTACCGAATGCGCGGTTTCCAGGTGCCAAATCTGCGGTTCCAGTTTACCGCACCCGCGGTTTCCGAGTCCTCGTTTTCCAGTTTTCCTAGTCACGTGTTTCCAGTGGCCGAAGCCGAGATTTTAGCCTTTCGAATCCGTGCATTCAGTTTCCCGAATCTGCAGTTTCAAGTTCCCGAATCACGCTTTTTCGGTTTCCATTCGAATCCGAGCGTTTTCAGTTTCCGAAACTGCTGCGGACCTTGTTTTTGCATTCATGGCTGTTCTTGTTCTTGTCATTGTTATTGTTAGTGTAGTGCCATTGTTGGTGTTGTTTTTTTATTATCGTTTTTGTTGCTGTTTTGTTCTCATAAGACCGTTTTGATCGTGCACTCATGTTGGTCTCATATGCGCACATGGGTATGTTCTGATAGTCGTAGACTATATTCTTCTAGTCTTGTGTTCTTAGGTCTTCTATTCTATTATTTCTCCTGTGTTCCCCTGCATTCTTGCATCCTTACTGTCTTAATTACCTTATTTCAGGCCTAGCGGCACGGGCCGGCCCCCGCCCCCCAAAGCACGAAACCTTGAACCTTGGCACTGTCTTCTCTTTCCCGTGTCTTTGTCCTCTCCTTCTCTCTGTCTCTCTTTCTCCTGCCTTCGCCCCCCCTCCCTCCCCCCCCCTCCCCCCCCGGCGCGCGCGCGCGCGCGCGCCGCGCGCGCGCGCGCGCACCCGCATCAGGAGCATCAGTGGGGTTGGTTTGGGGGCCTTAAAAGCATTCTATGCATGCGTTTTGCCTTCGAAAAACCTTCAGAAAACGCTGTAAACACGTGTTTTTGGGCTTGGGAAGCCTTTTGGGACCCAGGAAAGGGAGCATCATGAGCATCAGGTGCTGCGGGTGTTTTGTGGCCTCGGTTTTTCGTAAAAACCCATGGTTTTTACGAGGTTTTCGTGCTTTTCGCACCACCGCGTGTTGCGTCCCCTTGGATGCCGTTTTGGAGGCCTCCCGAAGGGCCCCGCGCGAATTTGAAGCAATTTTGGGCGGGGTCGGCGGCTCGGGCGCTCGCCCCTTAAAGCTAGCGCTTTAGTGCGACGCGGGCTCCGCCCTGGACCACGGGCTGCGCGCAGGCCGGATTTAATGGCTACCGCCAATGCCGCCGACCCCGACAGGAGGCCCTAGGGTTTACACAAACACCCCCTACATTGCGCTTACATATATCCATAGGTTCTAGAGTTCAGGGGGGGGCGAAGCATTGAGTCTTCACGCGCAGGGAGTTGGCGCGCAACCTTAAACCCTAAACCTCACACCTTAAACTCGAAACCCTGAACCCTTAAACCCCAAACTACTAAACCCTCAACCCCCTTAACCAGGAGAGCCGAACCGGGGTGAGGTGGGGGGTAAGCGGTGATGGGGGGGGGGGGGGGGGGGGTTGGGGGCAGAGGTGAAGGGGTGAAGGCGGGGCGGGCGGGGTGGGCGGGGGGGGCGCGGGGGGGGCTCGAGCCCCTCAAACGAGAAGGGGGGAGGGGGCGGGGCAGGGTGGGCGGGGTGGGCGGGGGGGGGCGGGGGGGGGGTCCGGGCATGCACTGGAGCCCCTAAAACACTTCATTTCCAAGTAAAAGGTTAGGGGGGAGGTGGGCGGGCATGCGCTGGAGCCCCTAAGAGGGTAAGGGTGAGGTCGAGCGGGTGAGGGCGGGGGGGTTTGGGCATGAGGGCAAATGGGTCTTCACTGACGCCTCCCCCGCAAAAGCAGGGGTCGGCGGATACTCTCATGTTCTTGTCTTCTTCTGTTTTCTCATATTGCCATGCTCTTGTATTCTTTTTTAATCTCGTCACATATTGATATCGCTATGTAATTAAAACATTGTACTGTTATATCACGATAATCTTCCAATTCTTGTATTGTTATTCTGATTGCATGGTACATGGTGTATGACCGTAGCATTGTATTATAGCATTATAGAAGACAAACATAGTATTAGCATATTGTGTTGTAGGAACAACCTGCCACAATCAGCAGATTACCTGGCTACCTGTCGTATATTACTGTATTACTATGTTACGATAATACTATATTGCTATATTACTATATTGCTATATTGCTATATTGCTATATTATTATCTTGCGATATTACTGTCCATATTACCCTCTGACCATTTCAGCATATGTCCAGATTATTCTATTGCTACATTTATATATTGCTATATTACCATACTGCCCTATTGCCATGTGGCTATATTGCTTTGTTGCTACAGTGCTTCCTTGCTATATTGCTGTGTTGCTACATTGTATCTTGCTAGGTGCGCAAGTCTCTGAAACTTTGCCCTGCCTAGGGACCACTGCGAGCAGCTTCCCGAGGGCAAGGCGCCACAACATCCATGTGATGGAAGGGATTGGTTGGGGGTTTGGGGTTTCGGCCTTACAGTCCCTGAAAGGGGCCCTAAATCCTAAGCCCCAAACCCAGGATTCACTGCAATTTTGCTCTGGAAGGATTCTCGTGCCAGGCAGCCCTCGGCGGCATCGAATTCAACGTCACTGTGCTGACGACTGGCTTCTGGCCATCTTATCAGGCCCGTTGATTTCGGGTTTAGGATTTAGGGTTTCGGGTTTACGGTTGAGGGTTTGCTTAGCAGGCACCATGTGCCTGACAACTGCACGCCCAACTGCGTGCCAGTGAGCTCGGCTGTCACCAAAGTCCCAAGCCCCTAGGACCCTAAAGCCCTAGACCCTGAGCACCCAAGACCCTGAATCCCTTGGGAAGCCCCGAATCCTCAAAGGCACTCATGCCCCAGAAGACTCAACTGAAAACTCTGACCGAAACCCGAAGAACCCTAAACCCTAAACCGGTAAGCCCAGCACCTCCAAGAGGGTGTCAGAGCCAGGTGCAGGAGGCAAGCCTTTGCCCGGAAATGCAGAAGGCCATGGCGTTTAGGGTTCAGAGTTTAGGGTTTAGGATTCATTTGAGGTTAAGGCCTCACGGCTTAGGGGCTTCTATCTGCAGTCTCTTGCTAGTTCTCATGAGGGAATTTGGGAACTAGGTAATCAGATATGCCCCTATACTGGATTATCCAGGGTGCCTATTTCCGCTTTTCTTGTTTCGACGAATTGCACATACATATATATATATATATACGATGACATACACGTGTATGTCGAACAGCTGCAAGATGTTTCATCCTGCCGTCTAGGCTGTACCACCCTAAACCCTAAACCCTAAACCCTAAACCCTAAACCCTAAACCCTAAACCCTAAACCCTAAACCCTAAACCCTAAACCCTAAACCCTAAACCCTAAACCCTGAAACCCTAAACCCTAAACCCTAAACCCTAAACCCTACCCTAGACCCTACCCTAAACCCTAAACCCTAAACCCTAAACCTAAACCCTAAACCCTAAACCCTAAACCCTAAACCCGACCCTAAACCCTAAACCCTAAACCCTAAACCCTAGACCCTAGACCCTAAACCCTAAACCCTAAACCCTAAACCCGAAACCCTAAACCCTAAACCCTAAACCCTAAACCCTAAACCCGAAACCCGAAACCCTAAACCCTAAACCCTAAACCCTAAACCCTAAACGCTAAACCCGAAACCCTAAAGCCCTAGACGTGCCGGAGGCCATCCAGGTGTTCAGCAATTATTACAATGTCCGGCTCCCGGAGAAGCAGGGTTTAAGATTTAGGGTTTAGGGTTCAGGGTTTAGGGCTTAGGGTTTAAGGTTTAGGGGACCAGACCTGGGTACTTGGAGGCTCATGGGCGCTTTTTTCGTAGGGCTAGAAGTACCCTAAATAAGGGTTATAACCATAGTTCCTCTACTCAGAACCCTACTTGTAAGTGCCCATGAACCTCCGAGAGAAACCTGCGCACGTCGCCCCGAACTGCCTAAGCCCAACCCCGCAGACACACATTCCGTCGAGCGTGCGCGTCCCGCTCCCGTGGCGCAGGTCGAATTAAGCAGGGTTTAGGGTTTAGGGTTTAGGGTTTAGGGTTTAGGGGTACCTTATTACGGCCCTTATTAGAGACGAATCTCACTTTGGGGGGTTCCCCTACATTCGTAAACCCCCGTGTTGGGGCTTCGGGTTTAAGGTTTCAGGGCTGAGGGCCCTAAACCCTAAACCCTATTTTGGGAGATACCCCACATCTCTACTCGGTGCCCAAGGGCAAAACGCAGCATCGGCGACTGCAGTGGATCCACTCCCTGGGGCAGGCGGATGGGTTGTTAGTGTTGATGTTTTTGCTATTGTTGTTGTGCTTCTTTTTTTGTCGTTTTAATGTCAGTTACAGTTGCATGTTTACTATATCATGCTTTGTGAGATTGCGCCTGATCTTAGATGATCCTGTCTTGTACTTTGTTGTGTCTTGTCATATTGTTATTGTTCTTGGGCTTCGGCTGATTGTAGGGATGAGCTGTTTCGGGTTTAGGGCTTCAGGAACACGGCCGAGTTCCTGGAATGTACAGACATGGATTCACAATGTTGCATGCCTGTGCCAGTGACAAGGTCCCCCCCCCAGACATTGTCACTTTGTTGCGGTTTTTTCACGACGTTCTGTGGTGATCGTGATGACGGCGGCAGCGGCAACCATGATGATTGTTGTTGTTCAGCCTGTAAAACGGGCACACTGGCATTCTGCCTTTCATCATCTCAAACGCTTCGTGCTGCACCCAGAAACGAAGGCCACGATTGCCGCCAAGTTGAATGGTCGAAGGCGGGTCCTCTGTGGATTCTGGGGCTACTCTGAACAGCAATCCATATCAAGCATGCAGCACTCCCTCAAGCAGCCCCCCCCCCCCCCCCCAAAGAAACAAATATATATATATATATATATATAGCAAACTCCTAAACCCAGAAGACTACCTGCACGCCAAAACCCCAAAACCCTGAACTCATCTGTGGGAGGACTTACCTCTAATCATGGGTTTCCCCACTATCCCCTCGATACTAACCCCCCCCCCCCTCCCCCCCGCCAAGGTTCCGCCCTTACAAAACAACCTTCATTAGGCTCAATTATCCTCAAAAAGCCCTAGAGGGGGGTAGTAGGGGAACCTATGATCTAAGGGTCTTTTGGCCTTCGTGAAGGGGCATGCAGGGGCTGGATTAGAGCCTCAACCTTGGGGAGTTGGAGTTTGGGGGTTTGGGTTTAGGGTCTGGGGTTTGGGGTTTTAGGGTTTAGGGTTGGGGGTTTAGGGTCTGGGGTTTGGGGTTTTAGGGTTTAGGGTTTGGGGTTTAGGGTTTGGGATTTAGGGCTTGTTGGTTAGGGTTTAGGGTTTGGGGTTTCGGGTGTAGGGGTTTAGGGGTGTAGGGGTTTAGGGCCGTTTAGGGTCCTTCAGGCATGACGTGACTTGCAGCCACACGGCTGGAGCCCAAATCCCAAACCGGCAGGCACGACCTGATCGTCAACTCTTATCAGGTGGCGGACTGTGGGTTTAGGGGTTTGGGGGTGTAGGCAGGCGCTTTTCTTGACTGCCCGACTTTCAAGTGCATGAGGGAAGAATGTGATCCGTTCCGCAGAGACTTTGTGCCGTGGGCTGCAGTTCCACAACTGCCACTGTCCAAGGCGCTGATCCTGCTTCTCTTCACCAGAGACGAGTCCCACAACCTTTCCTTCATCCAGGCCCCGAATTCTCCAACCGCTTGCAGGGCAGGGGAGCAACCTGATGTCCACCCCAAACCCTGACCCTAAACCCTAAACCCTATACCCTAAACCCCAAAAACCCGTGAGATGCGGTTACCCCCGCCCCCCCTCCCCTTGCTCCCTAAGAGGGTGGATGTTGAAAAGCTGAGTTCAGTCAGCCCATCTCCGATCTCTTCAAACTGCCGATGTGTTTGGGGCTTCCAACTTGGAGTGACATTGCAGATGACTGCTCCATGGCCCTTAGCCCTGAACCGATCCCAAGCCCAGCGCGCGCACGAAAGCGCCGCGCTCTCTCGCAGAATTCGACTGGTTTGGAGCCGAGCATGTGCAAGAAGTCCGGGGCTGAGAGGGAGAGGGCTTTGCCTTTGCGTTTCTTTCTCTTTTTCTTTCTCTCGCTCTCGCTCTCTCCCGCTCCCCTCTCTCTCTCGTTCTCTTCCCTTGGTTGCGGCCTTAGGTTTCGGGTTTGGGGCTTTGGGGGGTACTGCATTGTTGTGGTGCATGCTACGCTGCCAGCCAGCCGGATACTGTTTGCCTGCAGCATGCCTGGTTCCGGCATGTTGCTAAGATCTCTGCTAGCTCAATGGCAAGCTGTGGGTGTCGCTTTGTTGCGTACAAGCCTTTATGACAGCGAACCGGCTTTCCCCTGGTTCTTAGTAGGGAATGAGGGAATTAGGGTTTTATATGTATATATGTCAGTACATAAACAAATAAATATGAATAAATATAAATAAATATAAATAAATATAAACAAATATAAATAAATATAAGTAAATATAAATAAATATAAATAAATATAAATAAATATGAATAAATATAAATAAATATAAAAAATATAAATAAATATAAATAAATATGAATAAATATGAATAAATATGAATAAGTATAAATAAATATAAATGAATATGAATAAATATAAATATAAATATAATTACACATATATATATGTTGATATTTGTATTTATATTTATATTTACTTTTGCATTTGTATATATTTATATTAATATTCATATTAATATGAATATTATTTTAATCATAATATTAATTTTAATATTCATATTAATTGTATTTTCATCTTAATATTAATTTTAATATTCATATTAATTGTATTTTCATCCTAATATTAATTTTAATATTAATATTAAGACTAATATTAATAATATTAATATTAATCTTAATATTAACATTTATATATATATATATATACACATACATATACCCTTTAAGGGATGAGAAAGGGTACCTGATTCCCTCATTCCCTACTAAGAGCCAGCCAGTTATGATCACGAACCGTCTTTCACTATGACCAGAGGGCCTGCACAGACGCTACTGTGAGTTGCTCATCAATAATCTCACCGAAGAGATTGGCAACGTGCTTGAGCCTGCGGTTGACGTCCCGTATGCTGAGCAACATCGTGTGATCCTTGTTGGGGTACATGGGGGTTCCAAATATAGGGGAAAAATTGGAGGCTCATAGCTGAATACATAAGTGCGAAAATAGGGGACCCCTAGTCTAGACCCACAAATAGTAGGATCCCTTACACTAAGGACCCAATAAGGTCCCCCCCCCCCCCCCCCCCTAATATCATATACCCCCAAGTGGGGAATACCATGAGTTCTAAACCCTACACCCCAAATGAGAACGCGCCGGACACATGTGCCCAGGCTTTTGGCCACCTTGTCGATTGCCAAGCCCGGCTCACAGCTTCCTACTCCTTTGGTAAGGAATGTGGGCTTAGGGTTTAGGGTTTAGGGTTTAGGGTTTAGGGTTTAGGGATGTTTAGGGTTTAGGGTTATAGGGTTCCGATCAGAGGTTGGGGGTTGATAGTTTCGGGTTTCCTGAAGGGATATTGGGGTCTCCGGTCTTCCTCCACGCTGAAGGGCTTTTGGCGGTGCTGATGAAACGTGTTTCCTTGTGACATCTGCGCCCACAGAAGTGTCCCTAAACCCCAAACCCCAAACCCCAAACCCCAAATCCAAACCCCAAACCCCAAACCCCAAACCCCAAACCCTAAACCCTAAACCCTAAACCTGCAGCAGTAGCAAGATGGCCCGTAGGCACAAGTTGTCCATGATTGCTTGGCCAGGTTCAAGATTTTAAGTAAGACTGGCGACGGCAAGACGATCGAGGATTTGGGGTGCAAACCATGGCTGTTCAGAATCGATTCCGAAAGATCTTGCATCTTCCGATGCTTTCCCCCAACTCCCTGGCTTTACCTAAACATGAGATCCAAAATGCGTTGTGACACTCAGAATGCAGGATGACGCTAGCTTTTGCCCCAATGATGGCTTCCAGCCTGGGGCCGAGACGTCTTTGTCGTTGAGGCCCTGTCGCCCTCGCGTCGCGCGCACGCGCGGCCTGGCACGCTGAGGTGCCAGCACAGAAAGATCAAGATACCTCCTCCAGTGACGGAAGAGACGCACAACAAGGCTCTGCTGGGCAAGAAGCGTTGCTGCAGCGAGCTGTTCTGTGCACCGTGGCAGGGGCTACTCGTCCTAGCCTGTAGCAGCCCTTAAGCCTAAACGAGGGGGTTCTTCTTTATAATTTTATAACCAATAATGCCCAATACCAGAATCTACGGTTTTTGCATGCTTCTGTATAGCCCATAATCATATCAATCTTCAAAAGGGCCTAATAGAAATATTGCTTCTTCCTCATCAGATGCCTTGCCTTGGAGCAGGAGCGCGTGGAGGAGGATCGTTCCATCGCCATCGAGGCGGCCATCGTGCGCATCATGAAGATGAGGAAGACGCCCCGAGTCCCAGTTTGGATGGGTTTGGGACGTTTCCATGGGCTTTTAGAGGTCCCACGTCTCTCCATGCCTCTCCCACGTCTCGCAGTTCTGCGCTCTGTTTGCTCTCCCGGTGGCGCCAGATCTGGAAACTTGACAAGCTCGCACCTTTTGTGACCCTAAACCCTAAACCCTAAACCCTAAACCCTAAAACATAAACCCTAAACCCTACACCCTAAACCCTAAACCCTGAACCCTAAGCCCTTGACCCTAGACCCTAAACCCTAAACCCCCCAAACCTTAACAGTTGTTGGACGTTGTTAGTCTTCAGAGCTGCCATGCCTTCGGGACTACTGTGCGCTTGTCATGCTACGACTACCAATTGCTTAAGAACCCCCCCCCCAAAAAAAAAATGCATAATATTCTTCCGTATAAGGGCAATATAGGGATTACTATCTTTCCCTTTTTGGGGGGTTTCTTAAGCAATTATAAGGGTGATACAGGGGTTGTTTTTTTGTTCTTTTTGGGGGGTGCTTAAGCAAATGGTAGATGAGGCTGAACCACCAGCAGCTCGTGACCGAGGTGCGGGGATGCAGTTTGAGTCTAGACAGCCAGCCGCTTGCCACTAGGGTTTAGGGTTTAGGGTTTAGGGTTTAGGGTTTAGGGTTTAGGGTCCACTAGGTACCAGGTGATAACATTGACATAGGCTTTTTCTCCCCGTCTCCACAGTATCCTCAGTCTTCCATGTCTCTGTGTTTTTTGCCCTCTTTGTTTCTCTGTCTCTTTGTGTCTGTGCCTTCTCTACCGGCCCTCGCTTTTGTTGCAAGAAGAAAAAGAAGAGTATGTTTCGAAGTTGCTGAACCCGCTGAGGTGCTTACACAGCTTGCCTTCTTCAAGCCAAACCCAAAACTAGTGAAGCAGCGTCCACGGCTCAGAAGGCAAGTCAACTCAAGGGGGAAGTTGCTTTAAGGTCGTTTTGGGTATGAATGGTTTTCGGGTTGCGAGCAGCACATCATGTAGACCCTCTTCGAAAACATGCCATGCCAAGCACCCCATTGGGGGGTTCTTGCTGCTAGTAGATTCTGAGGAATTGAGCATCTGATTGAGCGTGAGTACCTGGAGCGAGACAAGAACCAGGCCAGGTATCAAGCAATTAGCCTGCACCCTGAATCCTACACTCCCCTACACCCTAAACCCTAAACCCTAAACCCTAAACCCTAAACCCTACACCCTAAACCCTAAACCCTAAACCCTAAACCCTAAACCCTAAACCCTAAACCCTAAACCCTAAACCCTAAACCCTAAACCCTAAACCCTAAACCCTAAACCCTAAACAAACCCTACCCCAAACCCCAAACCCTAAACCCCGGATCAGCATGCTGCTCAGTGGAGACGACAGGTTGATTTTAAGCCTGTACTTCAAAGTCAGAAACCATTGTCAGTACTCCCACGCGCGGAGGCCTCCATCTACAGGTACCTGGCATAAGCTCCTCGGAAGCATCCTCTCCAGGGTTTGGGGCTTAGGGTGGAGGGTTTAGGGTTTAGGGGTAGGGGTTAGGGTCTTCGGGTCTAGGGTTGAGGGTTCAGGACTTCGGGTGTTTGGGGTCTAGCATGGCTTTTGAGAGATCGTGCCAATGCTCCAGAGTCTGAGATGGGGGAGCTGATGGCTGGAAAGCGCCTAGACCCCTAAACCCGAAGCCGTAAACCCTAAACTCCTGGCGGCCCGGCAGGGGGGCTTGCTTGGAGGTCCGTGGAGGTTGTGCTATCCCAAAAAGGGACCTAATCTAGAGAGCTGCCCGGGTAGTTCCCAAGTTCCAGTACCAAGGACTTGAGCACCTGGGTCGCAGAGCAGTGAAAGCTTTCTTGTGAGGGTTGGTGGGTTAGCCGGGCGTAGCTGGGAGCTGAGAAAGCCAAGATGGCCGAGCTGACCCACGCACCGATCCGGTTATCGCATCTCAGAGTCGCTTCTTAGAGAGCTTTCTGCTCTTCAGGCATCAAAGATGACCTACGCATGCGCTGAGAAGGAATGAACACCGGAGCAGTCTGCAGTCGAATTGGAAAGTTTGTTTTTTTGCCTTTGCGGGGTTTCGGGCGCTCAGAGTGGTTTACAGTGCGATGCGAGGAGGGCTGCAATGTGAATGAGCAACGTGACTTCGTTGTTCTGATGTCCTCCTCCAATCAAGAGGCAGGGGGAGCACCTGCTGTGTAGTGAGGTACGAAGAAGGATGAGCATGGCAGGGTCTATAGGGTTTAGGGTTTTAGGGTTTTAGGGTTTTAGGGTTTTAGGGTTTTCGGGTTTTAGGGTTTTAGGGGTTTAGGGTTTTAGGGTTTTAGGGTTTTAGGACGGGAATCCGTAGGCCTAAGCTCTCATTGCTCATTGCTTACTTGCGGACTTCCGGATGGCTCCATTGCCCTTGCCGCCCTCATGAGCCATGGACTCCTGGGAAGAAGAGGCCGCGGAGTGTGTAGCTGAAAGCCACATGGGGGTTTATCCGAAAATAGGGGGGGGACCCCCCCCAAAAATAGTCCCCCAAATAGTAGGACTTCCTTGTAGTAAGGGTACCCCGAATTTCGGAAACCCCGACATGTGTATCTTGAACCCCAAAGCCCTCAGATTGAGGGTGCCTTGTCTGTGCCTGTGACCTCTGCTGTGCGCAGCACTAAACCCTAAACCCTAAACCCTAAACCCTAAGCCCTAAACTCGAAGATGCCCATCTAATACTGCTTTGTGAAGTTTTCACTCGTAGACCGCGAGCAAGGGAACCAATTTGTTCCAAGATAGTTCCCTTGCTTAGAACCCATTCTAGCAGCGCAAATGAGAGTTCATTCCAGTGTAAAACATTCTAGAGTCTTGCGATCCTTATGGTGATGGCTCCAGATCTCCTCGGTCCGAGAATGGCAAAAGGCAGCATCGTGTTCGGGAAGGCTTTTCAATCAGACAAAAGAGAACGTCCGGGGGCAAGCCCGAAATCTGGGATTTTGTTTTTAAGTTTTGTTATGTATGTTTTTTCTAGTTTTTTCTAGTTGTTGTTAGTCTTTTTTGGCTTTTTGTAGTTTTGTCTAGGTTTGTGTAGCGTTTCTTAGTTTGCGTTGGTTTTCCGTTTTTTTTTGTGAGTTTTCCATACTTTTGCTCTAGTTTCCAGGCTGTGTTTCGTTTTCTTTGGTTCTGGCAGCTTTCTTATTGGAGTCGTGGGGTCTTCTGCAGACCACTGGATAACCAACAAAAAAGCACAGCAACCGAGGCCAGTCCAATCGTAAGCCCATTATAGACGACCTACTCAGGCACCTCCTCAACCCTACACAGGTGGTTCTTTTCTGTAAGCTCTTTGCTGCTACAGGCGACCAAGAGTCATGGGTTTTTTTAGCTTTACTTAGGTTTTTTTTTCAGCTTTTCCTAGCTTTCCTTAGACTCCTCAGTTTTGGGCGCACATGCTGAGAGATTTCTTGTCGTTCCTTCACTGCTGAAGAAGCCCCCGACATAACAGTATTAGATGTGCGCACATGAAACCCTATACCCTAAACCCTAAACCCTAAGCCCTAAACCCTGTGCCCTAAACCCTAAACCCGGAACCCGAAACCCTAAACCCTAAACCCAGAGCTTCTGACGAGTGCAGCCACTACCGAGGTCGCCTTTGCTCCTGCCGGTGGCCATGCCGCTTTCAAGGCCTTGCGCATGTCAAGCAGCGCCAGTAGGGTAAGAGGACTTTGAGAGTAGGTCCTTTCTAAGTAAGGTTTAGGGTTTAGGGTTTAGGGTTTAGGGTTTAGGGTTTCGGGTGTCGGGTTTAGGGTTAGGGTTCAGGGGCCTCTCTAAGTAGGGCTACATGATCCACCTTTGCTGGTGTTCAACGCCTGCTCAAGAAGCAGCCGGGTTTTGCATTTGGCCCGACTGCATCGAGTTGCGGTGCCGCGCATGTTGCATTGGCTGGGGCAGGTGAAGATCTGTGAGCTGCCCATGGCAGATGGTGGCTTCCTCGGCTCTAGTCGGCTTCTTCTCCTTCGCCGAGTGACCTGAACCCTATGCCCCGAACCCCACTCCGTAATACCGCCCCCCCAAATCCTACACCTTCTACCCCAAAACCCGAAACCGGAGGTTTAGTTAAAGTGTAGTTGCTTCGGAGTTGCAGTGTGGGCACATGCTCTGACCGTACCCAGCACGCGTCCAGATTAGGGATTAGGGATTAGGGTTCTTACCTTCCGTCGCCTGAGTACCTTAACTGAGCCACCTGATAGCCCCCCTTAGAACTGCCCATGGACGCCCAAAACCCAAAACCCAAAACCCCAAACCCAAAACCCAACACCCCAAACCCAAAACCCAAAACCCCAAAACCCCAAACCCCAAAACCCTAAATATAACCCCTAACCCCAAACATAAACCCTAAACCATAAACCCCAAACCCTAAGTTGAAATGAAGCCGAGGAGTCCATGCCTCCACGGGTTGCCAGCTGTGGTCCTCCAGCCCCTGGGCATTTGGATTTCGTGTCCCATGGGCAGGGGTTTAGGGTTTAGGGTTTAGGGTTTAGGGTTTAGGGTTTAGGGTTTCGGGTTTAAGGGTTTAGGGTTTGAGGGTTTGAGGGTTGAGGGTTTAGGGTTTCGGCCAATGAAACATGCAGTTTACTCGGTCGTTTTTTCCCTTATTGGGTTTAAGAGGATCACATTCAGGAATGTTTCTCGGAGGGTTTTAAGGCCCATCCGTTTTTAGGGGCCTTGCGCAACAACGTGAGGCTGTGACTGTTTTGGAAGGCTTAGCTTTCTAGATCTCGGGTTTGGCTTTGGGGTGGGCCCGACACGCCTCGAGTCCTTGGAAGGCCAATTCCTGTATGTAGGGCATGTTTAGGGTTAGGGTTCAGGGTTTAGGGTTTGGGGTTTGGGGTTTAGGGTTTAGGGTTTAAGGGTTCCTGCCGACCCTGTGGCGTTTTGTTCTGGGGGGGGGGGGGGGGGTGTGCAGCTTAAATAGGGTCTATTTGGAAGCTGAGACTCGGGTTTTAAAGAGGAAATAAGGCCCCAAAACGTATGCTTATTCACAAAAGCCATCTGCCAAATAGACCCTGTTGTCGTTTCTGGGGGTTCTGGGGCAAGGAATTAAATAATTTAAATAATTTAAATCCGAAAGGGGCGTTTCGGATTTAAATTATTTAAATTATTTAATTCTGGGAAGG